GGAGAGGAGAGAGAGAGTGCAAATAGGAAAAGGGATATATTTGTTGAGAGAGAGAGATACGGTGAAGATAATCTATTTCCATCACACTAATATTCATGATATGTACAAATTCTGGTGTTTTGGATTTCCCAAAAGAAAAAAAAGTTGAAAGGAATAAACATCAATGAAGTTTCCACCTTTCCCCTGCCAGTTTCCTCAATTCTTTCTTACTCATGAATTAAAAGAGTGGCCATATAAGAGAGGACAAATAAACATTTTAAAATTCAAAACTCAAACCTAAAAGAAAAAATTCAGAACATGGATTGATCAAAGAAAAATGAATCCAAGGTCTTGTACAAAAAGGCACAATAAACCAGTCTTCAATGCCTATATCTCTATGAACAATGTTAAAATGATTACACTCTCAAAAAACTGGTGTCATATGATCCTACAACAACAAATATTATATTTCACATTCATGGCAAATGTTCCCATGCTTCTGCAAATTAAAGTTGTCGCCAAACCAGGTATTTGGTGCTGGGATCTCCATGACTGTAGAAATGGTCTCTCTCAAACGAAACAAAGAATGTAGCTACGTTACTTGTACAACGCACGCTGTTATTTCACGTACACAACAAAGGTTCCGATGCTTCCAAAAATTCACTGTGAAGAGACCCAAGTAACTGCAGCACTCTAATATACATGTGACACAAGGGGTGGTACTGCAACACCATGGGCTGTAGTATGTGCATGGAATCAGGTTATATAGGTACAGCCATCAAATCCATTCCTTATGATTTTTGAGTTTCATGAAGCTCAATCGAGTTATTCTTTACAAAAACCCAAACGCCAGAAAAGCTTCGACAAAGTTTTTGTGCCCCAGGCTAGGTCATTTTTGAGGAGATCATCTGGAGCCGGTTCGCTGTCCTCTGTAGAGGCAGCTGGTTCACTCTTCTCTGTTGTGGAAGCAGCAGTTTCTCTCCCCTCTGTGAAGGACAACTTTACTCCGGGCCCACTTTGTGGTGTCTCTTTTTCCTCCTGATCCAAGGTTTTGTTGGAAGTTTGCAGCTCCTGCTCTCCAATCAACTAATTTTAGGGTGTTGGAAGGAAACAGAAGAAGAGAGTGGGTCAAGGTTTCCTTAGCAGATGCATGTTTTCATGGCATTATTATTTCTTGGAGAAAAGATATATACTATAGATTGAAGGACAATGAGAACCATAGCTTGCAAAGGTCACGACTGTCTAGTTTGTCAGGATTTATGACCTCAAGGGACACAGGTTTTCAGTAGTCCATTGAACTACAGTATACTTGCTCTTTTCCACCTCAATTATTCAGAATTTCGGACTATTGAAAGCATCGTCTTCTTAACAAATATTAACTAAAGCAAGATAAGAATAAAACATGACGTGTCTAGTATTCCAATTCCAATTAAATCTTATGCAAACAACTGGTTTTTAGGTGTAGTAGGATCAGTTTCTTAGGTTTTCTCCATGTTATATAGAAAATAATTTTCTACGATTATTTTTTGGCTTGGCAACCCCAAGTCCTTGGGTTTCTCGAACTTATACATAAAGAGAATGACGAGGTTTCTCTAGTGATGCCTACTTAGATTAGCCATATGGTTCTTTTCTCCTTTTCTCCCTCCGCTGGAATACAATGCGAACCAAGAAAAAATTGCAAAAAATAGGCTCAAAATAATCAGAAACAAATCTTTATTCATGTGCCTAGATAGTCTCCAAGGAAATCATACGACAAAAACCACGCTCAAAATTTTCAAAAATAGATCGTTATTCTCATGGAGGGGTGACATGAACCTTCATAGTAACTCCCATCTGCAGTAACAGTAATTTATTCACCAACTGGAGAAAGAGAGAATGCATTATCTATTGTCAACTGTCTACCAGGAATTGGATAGAGAAAACTGCAGCTCGAAGGAAGCGTACCTTGGGAAAATCATCAATTGCACCATCATTAGGGTTGATAACATGGCTTTTTGCTTGGTCAAGTTGGGCTTCATTAGAAACTGCTTCTTCGGTAACAAGTTTGGAAGGGGAAGCCAAGCCAGGGATCAAAATGGGGACTTCAGGGTTCAGCATATCCGGAGTAATGGCACTCAAGTCACTCTCTACGGGCTCAGCTTTGCTACTGGTGTGTGGGTGTTCAGCAAACTTTGATTTCTCATTCAAACATTTGGATGGTTCCTCATTTATATTATGAAGTTGTGATGTCTCAGTTATCTTCTGAAGTTTTGGCTTAGTTGTCTTCTCAAGTTTTGGTTCCTCGGATATTTTCTGAAGTTGTGTTTCCTCAGTTATTGTCTGGAGTTCAGCAGTTTCCCAAGATTCTGAGATCACAATTGTGCTACTGGTTCCCCAAGTCTTTACAACACGGTCTGGTCCAGGCTGCCATTCAATTTCTCCTAGCTTTCCTTTCAGTATGAACTTGTAAAGAAGTGTTGTTCCAGCTGGGACCTCCTGTTCCAATAATTGACAAAACCATCCATTGAGAACAAGAGGGTAACTCCTTTTCTCGAGAGAAGTTTAAGAGGTTCAATTATAATATATATATATATATATATATATCAGCGTTTTGAGACTCAGCCGAGACCACTTGGATTCGGCATATGGGCGAGGCGAGTTTCAGGCGTGTAGGTTGTAAGGTTGTACAACACATTTACAAAGTTTATTTATATTAATGCAGCAAATTTAAGTCGTGTGTTTGAATGGCTCCGCGGTTTATCCTAACACAACATAGTGTGATCAGGGTTCGAATCTCACCAGCGAACATCACTTTTTAAAGGTTGTCATCTTTGTTTTATATGAAGGGAGTTCCCAGAAAAAGGGTAGCCCCCCAAGAATCGAACTCGACACCTCTTACAAAGAGGGAGCTTTATGTCAGGTGGCCTAACCCTCATGCCATTAGCTTTTTTATTGAAAAAGCTGCTCGCTAATTATATATATCATGTTTTTGTGTTCATTTTCTTTTAAAAAAGTTGAGCTGGACTTGGACGAGTTACTCAGACTCGCTTGAGTAATTCACCTTGGCCAATGCTTGGGTACCTTAGCGGAGTCGATTTTCTAAATACTGGTATATATATAGGAAAAGTTCTATATGAGTCCACAAACATCCATCTTTAAGATGGATGTTTTGCCAAGTGCACCATACCAAAATGTTATATTGACAGTGTAAAAATAAATCCCTTAAAAAACATATTTAAGATTTAAAACTTTTATTTTTTTCCATATTCATGATCATCTCAGACTAGATCATGAATCCCTAAAAATTTGGATGAAAAATCCATCTTTAAGATGTATTTTAGAGGGGGAACGCACGTCTATATATAAGTGGCTAACTCATAGAAACCCCATCCATATATATGTGTGTGTATGTGCGTGTCTATGTGTTTGAGTGCATGTGCGCACATGTGTGTGGAGGCTTCTAACTATTGGGGATGGTCAACTCTTGAAAAACATTAAAAACATCCTTCTTGGAGGCTTGGGTTGAACTCATGTTTAGAAAATCGACTCGATCAAGGTACTCGGGCCTTGGCAGAGGCAGGTTACTTGGGCATGTCCGAATAACTCACTCGAGTCCAGCTCTTTTTTTTTCTAAAAAAAATGAAGACAGAAACGTAATATGTATAATTAGCAAGCAACTTTTACAACCAAATAGCTAATAGCGTATTGGTTACGTCGCTTGACATAAAGCAACCTCCTTGCAAGAGGTGTAGGGTTCGATTCTTGGGAACCTAAAAGTTTTTTTTAGAACTCCATCATATAAAAAAAATAACGGTCTTTAAAAACGTGATCCTCGCTAGCGAGATTCGAACCCTGACCATGCTAAAACATATGCATAAGGATTAACAGTAGAATCATCTAAACATGTATGACTTATATTCGCCGTATTAATATGAATAAAGTTTGTAAACATGTTGTAAAACCTATTCACCCAAAACTCACCTCGCCCATAGTGGACCTATTCACCCAAAACTCACCTCGCCCATAGTGGACCTATTCACCCAAAACTCACCTCGCCCATAGGGGCTTCGGCGGAGTCTCAGAACACTAGGTTGAACTGTATGTATTTTGTATCTCTACAAAACCATCATTGCATTCCTATGTATGTTTTCACTTTCATAGAGGTCCACTTTTAACTGTTAAAAAGAAAATCCTAGCTGAAAATGCGTTGGCTGCATCTAACCAGGTCCGTTGTCCAGACATGGCCATCGGACCAGTCCATAAGAAGAGCAGCTGTCGGGTCCCAGGAGCCAAGGCTTGGATGTTCTCCAACGATGAAAAATTGCTGACCGAACATGCATTCCTTCTGTAAAATGAATCTCACATGAACTGCTGATTGACCTAGTACACCAAGATGCATAGTCATGTGACAAAACAAAGGAAAGAGGTGAGAGGATTGTAAAAACCAACATGAGAGTTGGAAAAAGTAGAGTGATTATGGAACATACTTGGAGCTACAGGGTCAACATTCACCTGCAAATAGAACAGGCAAAACCAACCTGAGATCCAAACTTTTTCATTTTAAGTTGGAGAGGGCATAGAAAGGAAGAAAGAGAAAAATTAATTACGAATTAACTATGAGTGATTTGCTCAAGGAATTACTTATGATAAACACTAAATGGCATGTCAACTGCATGTGTTTGGGGAATTTTAAACACCAAAACAGCCATGTTGACACAATGATACCAAAGTCTTTGAAACTCATTGACATGTGCTCAGACTATCCCGAGTTGCATGGACTTGACAGCCTGCCGGATCTCAACTGAACTGCCAAGAGGTCCCTGCATCCCCGAACAGAATAGGCTTGGTCCCTATAAAGACCCATGTCGTTTCAGATCGGATTCATCTGAGTGGCTGGGACCAGTCCAAGTCGGTCGCCACTCAGCAAGTGACAGTTTCCCTGGTCTTGTTTACCCTTGGTAGAAAAAATAAAAGAAATATCGACTGTTTGCTGCTGTATGGGGGTATTAAGGCCTCCAAACACAGATCAAGAGCTATTTTTTACCCTCTATCACTTGATTGCATTAGATTTTCGGAAAATTTTCAAATCGAAATGGACCTAAGGGAATTAGCATTGGAGAGTGTGAGTTTGCCAAGGAGTTTGCAAACCTTGGATCGAGTGGATCAAAAGTCTGGCTCAAATACATTGGGAGTTTGATTTAGTGGAGTTTGAGAACTGGTCTACAACTAGTAATTTATTTACAGTTTTTTAATTTCATTTTTTTTCAGTGTAATTTTATGGGAAAATATTTTCTTATCCCCTATTTTTAACTTCCATATCTTATGAGACCCAAGAATTGAAAATATTACTTGTAAGCAAAATGTCCCCATCTTTTCTATCTTACAACTCCCTGGACCCCTTTGACCATAAATGTTTTACCCAAACAAATACTAAAAATGACACCCTATTCAAACTCCATCTCTCTCTCTAAAACTCACTCTCTC